TATTACCTGGGGCTGTTTAGAGACTAAAGACAGAATCTGAGGAGTTGTACCAGAGACTATATGACTCAAAGCCTGTAATACTTATTATCTGGCCCTGACTATTAAAAAATATGCCAACCAATCCTCAAAACATTTTGTGTTTGGTAAATTTTTATAGTAATAGGTACTAAACACATAACATTATGTTAATTCTCTGAAAATCAGCAACTCAGTAGTATCTATATGATACAATAATCTTTACATCATTCTATCCCTGGCTTCACAGTCCCATAATCAATCATGCCAGAAAACAGCTAATAAAAATTCAACTTGTAAAAATATGTTTCCCACAGTTACAGAATCTTGGCAAGCTTTAACCCTAGCTCCTCACAAGATTAATAGTTTCAGGGGTTCAGGATATAGCTCCAAGTATACCATGCTTGAGATGCTATGAGTTCAATCCTCAGTACCTCAAAAAAAGAAAGAAACCAATTAAGGAAGGAAGGAAGGAGAAAAGAAGGGGAAGGGGTTAGGTAAGAAAAGGAGAAAAGAATATAGACTGATTAAATTGCTGTCAGTCTTTTTGGATTTCATGCAGCATTAGGCCTAGGAAGATTAAAAGACTGCTTAAACACAAGAGACATGGGGAATTCTATCCCTCAATGAATCACACTCTAAAATCCAATAAATATTTGGATTTTATTATTTTCCTTTTTTTTTTTTTTTTTTTTTTTTTTTTTTTTTTTTTTAACCTCCCTGGAGCTGGCCTGAAATTCACTTTGTAGACCAGGCTGGCCTCGAACTCACAGAGATCTGCCTGCCTCTGCCTCCTGAGTGCTGGGCTTAAAGGCATGGGCCACCACACCCGACATATTTTTCCTTTTAAAAAAAAAATCTTAGTATGTAGCTGAGATTGGCCTTCAATTCTTGATCCTCCTGCCAAATGCTGCAACTACATGTATGTGCCACCATATTACCCATCTTTTTTTTTTAGACAAGGTATCTCAATATAACCCAGGTGGTCCTGGAACTTGTGATCCTATTGCCTCAGCCTCCTTAGTACTGGAACATTCTAGCTTGCTTTCTGTTGCTGTGATAAAAACATTGAAAAACAACTTGAAGAGCAAAGGCTTTATCTAACTAACACTTCCACATCACAGGTCATTTTTGAGGTAAGTCAGGCAAAACGGGAGGCAGGAACCTGGAGGCAGGAGCGAATGCACAGACCATGGAGGAACACTGCTTACTGGCTTGCTCCTCAAACCTGTACTCAGCCTTCTTTCTTATACAACCCAGGACCAACTGCCCAAGGGTGACATCATTCACAGAGGGCTGGGCCCTCCCACATCACTCAACAATCAAGAAAATGCCCCACAGACATGCCCACAGGCCAATCTGGTGGAGGCAATTCCCCAGTTGAGGATGTCTCTTCCCAGGTGTGTCAAGCTGGCAAACAAAGCCAACCATGACACTGGATTACAATCCAATTTTCCTTTAAATAATTACCAGTATTTTGGTCAAAAATGACTATTGAGTAGTAAGTTTTGGACATGGTGTTCTCTCCCTTGCAGGGACTTCATTCATGTAGGAAAGCCAGAGTAACACAGGGCCCTTCAAGCAGTATGACTTTGGAGAATCCCCCTCAACAGGCTCTAAGAATCATCACTTCATCTATAAATCTGTGTTATCATCCACCTTCCAAAGACAAAGTAAGATGAGATTTGTATGAAAATGCTTTGAGAATCTCTCATGCACATACTCACATCCGTAGCCCTGGCTCCTTTCTTCTTGGATGGGGTGGTTATATAGCAAGCTAAGGTTAAATAAACTGTGATGTGCAGATGTGAGGGGATTAGTACCAAGGCCTGTATCATCCCCTCCTTACTAAGTTGTTTCTAAATACAAAGCCTTGCTATGGTCTCAGGTTTGTTTTCTGTGAATATGAACTCCAAAGACCACCATCATTCATGAGTGACATATTGGGGTCAAACACCTCCCTGCATGGCATCCTCAACCCATAACAAAGAAAGCTATAATCTCTGTGCATTTCTTTCCTCTATCACCAGACTGAATACTGGCATCGTATCTGATATAAATGCCTCTAAGAAATCTTTAGAGGAATTTTAGGAAAATAGTCTGATTTATATAATCAGTATTTTAAAAAATATTTTATTATTTTTATGTGTATGTGTATTGCTTGCATATAGGTAAGTGCACCCATGTTGTGCAATGCCCGCAGAGGACAGAGGAGGCTGTGGGATCCCCTGAAACTGGAGTTACACACAGTTGTTAGCTGCCATGTGGGTACTGGGAATCGAACCTGGGTCTTCTGCAAGAACACCCAGTGTTCTTAACCACTGAGCCATCTCTCCAGCCCCATATAATCAGTATTTTAAAAAATCAATTATCAGCTTCTTCCAAAGCTGAAAAGGACTAATGAAAACCTAGTGGTACTGAAAGAAAAATATTGTATTTCAGGCTTATATTACTTGACACCAGATGGAGCTTTCTGAACTATTATGTTCATAAAAAGGAAATTTAATCTAGTCTAAGTATAGAAGAGTTAAAGGAGTGTGGGCCCTCTAAGTATACTCAGTCTTATATACTGACCCAGTAGCAAAAGAGTATTTTAAAAAGGGGAGGACGAACCCAGTAAAAATTACATAGTTTCACCAAGAAAGGAACAAAATTGCCACTTTTGCTTCACCACAAATATAACCAGTTTTAACCATCCATGTGATAGGCAGTACACAAGACTAACTGTAGGGAATTTACAAAATGAAAATAAAATTCATGAATCTGACATTGAATCTTTATACTGGCATATTCAAAAAGAAATCTATTTAGCTGGTCATGGTGATGCAGGCTTTTAATCCCAGCACTCAGGAGGCAGAGGCAGGCAGATCTTGAGATCCAGGCCAGCTGGGTCTGCACAGTGAGTTCCAGGCCAGTTGGGGCTACAGGGAGACACTGTTTAAAAAAAAAAAGAGGGGCTGGAGAGATGGCCCAGCGGTTAAGAACACTGATTGTTCTTGCAGAGGACCTGGGTTCGTATCCCAGCACCCACATGGCAGCTAACAACTGTCTGTAACTCCGGTTCCAGGGGATCCAACAGTCTCTTCTGTCCTCTACGGGCATTGCATGACATGGGTGCACTTGCTTACATGCAGGCAATACATGCATACACATAAAATAAAAATAATAAAATAT